AACCACTGCTTGCAGTGAATGATGATCATCAGTCTTCCATTTCTGAGTAAGTCTGCTGAGAAGCTTGTGGTAAAATAATTCTCTCAATATGTGGATACTTCAGATCTCCCTCTGCTCTAGGACCAGACCTAACTTTAGTACAGAGTCTGACTGACTGCGTCTTGGATGAAGATCATGTGTTCCTGCTGGTATTAGAAGACCTGTCAGTTTTCAGACCTATTAGAAGCCTTCAGTTCTATTGATCATGGAAGGGTGTTGATTTTTCCACAAACCTTAGCAGGAGTAAATGCTGCTTTTCAACAGCTTTGTTCTTTTCTCTGAGAGGTCCCAATGGGATTTAGCTAACAACTGCCCATTTCATAGAATCATAGAACTGGAAGGGACATCGAGATGTCCTCTAGTCCAGTCCCCTGCACTCACAGAAGGACTAAGTATTATCTAGACCATCCCTGACAGGTGTTTGTCTAACTTACTCTTAAAAATCTCGAATGATGGCGATTCCACAACCTGTCCAAGGCAATTTATTCCAATGCTTACCCCACCCTGACAGGAAGTTTTTCCTAATGTCCAACCTAAACCTCCCTTGCTGCAATTTAAGCCCATTGCTTCTTGTCCTGTCCTCAGAGGTTAAGAAGAACAATTTTTCTCCCTCCTCCTTGTAACAACTTTTTTTGTACTTGAAAACTGTTATCATATCCCCTCTCAGTCTTCTCTTTTCCAGACTAAACGAACTCAGTTTTTTCAATCTTCCGTCATAGGTCATGTTTTCTAGACCTTTAATCATTTTTGTTGCTCTTCTCTGGACTTTCTCCTATTTGTCTACATCTTTCCTGAAATGCGGCGCCAAGAACTGGACACAATACTCCAGTTGAGGCCTACTCAGCGCGGAGTAGAGTGGAAGAATTACTTCTCGTGTTTTACTTACAACACTCCTGCTAATACATCACAGAATCATGTTTGCTTTTTTTGCATCAGTGTTACACTGTTGACTCATATTTAGCTTGTGGTCCACTATGACCCCCAGATCCCTTTCCGCAGTACTCCTTCCTAGGCAGTCATTTCCCATTTTGTATGTGTGCAACTGATTGTTCCTTCCTAAGTGAAGTACTTTGCATTTGTCCTTATCGAATTTCATCCTATTTACTTCATTTGTCCAGATCATTTTGAATTATAATCCTGTCCTACAAAGCACTTTCAACCCCTCCCAGCTTGGTATCGTTCGCAAACTTTATAAGTGTACTCTGTATGTTATTATCTACATCATTGATGAAGATACTGAACAGAACCGGACCTAGAACTGATCCCTGTGAGACCCCACTTGTTATTTCCCCAAGGAGTCTCAATTGTGGGATCTGCAGGTTCTACTTCCTTATCCCTCTTACTCAATTTATAGATGGGGCTATTTGGTGGATAAGGGAGAGGGCACGGAGTGCACTGTTTTCAGTATGTGGATTCCACTCAGTTTTAAATCTTCCTTGACCAACCTGGATGACACAGGTGAGCGTCTTAACTATGTCTGTTTTGAGACTGAGGTGTGACGGCTAAAATTTGATCCAGATGAATTTGAATTGGTGCTAGTAGGTTGAGGGAAGGAGTTAGAGGATATGGGAGAGACAACACTGGCCCCTTTGAGGGTATTTGTCCGCTATCGGTTGCCCTAAATGGCAACTTGGACAGTGTGTTAGATCCTCAGTAGTCTTCAAAGAATTAGTTTAATAATATAATATATGGAGATATACCTATCTCATAGAACTGGAAGGGACCCTGAAAGGTCATCGAGTCCAGCCCCCTGCCTTCACTAGCAGGACCAAGTACTGATTTTTGCCCCAGATCCCTAAGTGGCCCCCTTAAGGATTGAATTTACAATCCTGGGTTTAGCAGGCCAATGCTCAAACCACTGAGCTATCCCTCCCCCCTTTAGTAGGGACTATAATAGTGTCACACTATCAGCATCTGGCCAGGGGGATTACAACATTTTCTCTCTGATGCAGACCCTGTTACAGAACAATTCAATATGGAAACTGAAGCTGGTGCAAAATGCAGCAGCCTGCTTTCTTAAATGGTATATTTCATTAAGAGCTAGGGGACCTGTATTGGTGCTTACTGGTTTTCAGGTGGACTTTAAGCTGTTGGTTTTACCTATAAAACCCTCAGTGGCTTTGGGCCTGCCTATTTGAAAAATCACCATAAAGAACATCTCTGAAATAAATTTAGATTATTTCTGATGCTTAAAATGTGGCAAATGTTTTACAGAGGTGATTATCTGGGTAGGGGGATGTTGGTGTGTTTATGCATATAGGGCTAGCTCTTTACTTAGGCAAATAGGAAATGAAGTCAGTGGGAGTTTTGCCTGCCAAAGGCAGGCTTATTCAGGCCATGCTATGGTAAAGTCAGTTGGTTCTTTGAAACACATAATGTGTAATTACTCCTGACATTAAATTATAGTATTGCTTGTCATTGCCTGTTCTTGTGTGTTCTAGTAGAATGTGTTTTATAGTATACTTCAGAAAGAGAATCTGCTACAGAATAAATATATATTATGGGTATCCAGGGAGCTAGCAGTCTTGCAAAACAGAGCTCTTTAGTCCAGGAGTTGTTTGCTTTTCTGGGTTGCATCTCACTCAGAAATGTAAAGAAGCTGTGAAGTGACATACATTAATTAGCAAGATTAGATTATAACAGCTTCATGAGATACTTAATGTGTGTGTCTATTTAAAAGTGCATTTAACCTTTTGACCAAAATCCTTGGTTAATCCACTGTAATTGGAAACAGATATGCTTGGGTAACATGTTTTAAAGTTTTGGTGAGACATAAATTCAAATCTCATCATTAGCATTTTGAAAGCTTTAATAGGTGGGCGGGGGGGGGCGCTTATGTTTGTGATTGTGATTATGTTACTCTGTGACAATACAGAGTTGGAGAGTAGGGTCTGCAGTATGAGGGCCTTGCATATTCTGAAACTATTTAGGGTACTGAAAATTGTTTTCCTGCGGTCAGGGTGCTGCAGTGACAAAACACTGCCCTTTTTAGCTGTTGCTGGACATGCACAGATACACTGGCCAGTAAAATCTCGCTAATCTGCTCTTCTACAACCGCATACTTACCCAAGAGAAGTTCTCAGCTTTGCAGTTTACTGCACTTCAGAGAGGTGAGACCTTACTTGTGAAGAGGGAGGGGACTACAGGTGCAGTCATACTCTCCATGGGATGGTAGGGAGGACAACATATCCCTTTTCTATCTCTATCCCACAGCACTTAATACCCTGAAACAGGCTTAAGGCCCTCACTGTTTTTCCTGGTGCTCCTTCCAGCTGCTTCTGCATGGGGGCAAGGCCAGGCTATTTATGCTCTTGTGGCTTGCTGAACCACCATGGGGATAAAGAGGAGACTTTGCTGGCACCTGCAGGATTGAAATGAGTGGGTGAAATGGAAGAAGCCTGTAGAAAAGCTGCCCCTCTCCCTTCCTCTTCAGCAGCAGCTTGGAGATCCATTGCCTGTGCACTCCTGCAGCATCAAGCCCCGCTATGGAATCCAGAAAAGATGCTCTTATTTCTGTCTTCAGTTGTCGTGCATTGACCCCCATCTTTGCCCTATGCCACTGCTCGTTGGAAGGCACAGGGCAGATCTGGGAGAGACTCTCCTCCTCGGCAGTAAGGCCATAACCTCCATTTTCACATTCTCCTGCAGGGGCTTTTAGTGCTGGAGCAGCACACATGCATTTGTTCTCTTATAAATGCTGCTGCCTAAGAGGAGAGGAATAAGATGGCACATGTTAAAGCTTTGCACTCTCCATGCTATTGTAATCCTGCGGCTACTAGACGGGTTCCTCTCTATTCCTGTGGCAGCCCCAGAAGAGCTATGCGAGCCCTGGAAGCCCTTACACCATGCACCAGTTGGAGGGGAAGAGCACCAGCACCAAATAAGTGCCCTTACTCTTGTTTCAGGCTGTTCTTGCGTGCGGGGGTGAGGCCAAGGATAACATGATGCTCTGCCCACTTTGACCCTGCCCTGAGACCTGGAGAGGAACAATTCTCCATTTGTTTGGGGCACTACCCTGGGATTTGGGAGACCTGGGTTTAATTCCTTCCTTGGCCATGAACTAGCTGTATGACCTTTGGCAAGCTACTTAATCTCTCCGTGCTTCAGTTCCCCATCTGTAAAATGGGGATAATAGCATTGCCCTTCTTTCCAGGTGCTGTGAGGATAAATACATTAAAAGATTGTGAGGAAGTCACATACTACAATAATGGGCTCCATATAAGTACCTAAGACAGATACAATTACTTGGTACTCCCCAAATCTCATTGGTCTACAATAGGTTAATGAGGTTCTCTGTAAACAAATAAAAACAAAAAAGAACTACTTAATAGTGTTTTTGTTATTTACAGCCACATGTGACATTAACATTCAGTGAATATTCACTATGTGCAGCATTAATGTGTAGATTGTCTTCAGTGGAAATGTGTGTTACAAATGAAGGAATCATGTTATTTAGACACAAACTTAGGCCTCCCTTTCAGGCTTAGGAAATGCATCCAGCTCATGAGAAGTTACAGCTCTGAGGAGAAAATGTATTGTACCTGCACAGTTTATATGCTGGTTAAACGTCGTCATCCTTGTCACTTTTATACTTTTAAAAGCAGATGATGAACAAAGAATCACGTTGACATGAACTGGCACAAACTTTGGCCTAATCTTCAGCAATCCGAGCTAAAAGGATTTGAAGGGTTTGAGCAGAGGTGAACACTGAAGTCTTGATTAGGCAGAAGGAAGTCATTTATAATTTACTTCATTGTTACTTGGTGAACTGCTGCTGGCTGCCTTGTCAACTGTAACGTTAATTTTTTTTAATTTGGCCTGCAGGGGAGCCAAGGTTGGGAGTTGGCTCGTTCAGGCTCTCCAACTGATTCTGTGTTTGTGAAATTAACATGTACATGTTTGTAATTATCAGGAGATAGAGATTTTGGGCAATATAAAGTGGGACTTTGTTTTTATGCCAGGTTCGCTATCTTTTGGAATGGATGGAGGAAGACGTAGAAGACATAGAAGAAGCAGACGAAGCTGACGATACAGTGAAGCCAGAGCTCTGTCACCCATTATGCCAGTGCTCAAAATGTGAGCCAATACAAAAGGTTGGAATTTTTTTCTGTTCTGTAGACAGAATAACTTTTGCATTCCTGTAGTTAGTTTTTTTTAGCCCAGGAAAATAATATTCCTATTCTTCTGCACAGCTGCGTCTCTGCTCACAAGAGGCCTGTGATTAAATGTGCACAGATCTTAATAGAGTTCATCACCTTATAGGATGAAGTTGCTGTACTTGAAAATCAGGCTGTGGAAAGGATTGGAATAGAGAAGCAATGTTTAGAAACTCATTTTGCTTTCTGATGGAGGAGTGGAAAACTTGTGTGTTTGGATTTTCTTCTTCACCCCCTTTTTGTATTGTTTTGGTCCAGGATTTGTAGTCCATGCTTTCAGTAAGTTCTGAGTAACTTTGTAAACGTGAGGGTAAAGAGAAGCTCTGCTCTAGGCCTCCCAGTTGTTTCCTTTACCCTCTTATCTGCTCTAGGGCTCCACAATTTCTCTGCTGATCTGGGCCCTTGATAACTTGCCCTCTCGGCCCATTGAACATTTTATTCTTTGGTAATATCTTAGCAGGAAATTTACTGTCCTCGTAAATATCAATACAATACTAATAAGACCACTTTATTGTTTATCATATCTTTAATTCAAATTGTATCTAAAAAACTAAAGAGCTAAATAAAATTATGGAGAATTGTTGTCTCCCTTGCCCATTATTTATCATACAGCAGAAAGAGAAATGGGCTATGATATGGGATTAATCATGTTCCTTGTTGGAAGCCACTGCCATGCCTTCCAATGAGTAATAGTATTGAATACTTAAATACTGATAACTGTTTCTTTAGAACACGTGTTTTGGGTCTCATTTGTGGAAATAAGGAACGCTCATAATTTAAAGAAAATAGAAAGCTGATTATCTGCAACTCAGAAGGAAAAAGGATTATTGTGACTGAGTGATGGAATCTCTTGCTTACCGAAACAAGGGCTTTGAGACATTTAGCTTACTGGTAACAGTGGAATGACCTGGCTCTTGAATAAAAATAAGAAGGCATTTGTTAAGTAGTCTTGCAACTACACACTGCAGTTGGGAAGAGGGAAGAATGGGAAAGGTTCGCTACCATTGTGAAACGTTGGCTTCCATGCAGTCTGAGAGAGCAGTAGAACAGGACATTCTCTGAGTAGCCTGTAGGCCACATCCCAGTTGGATCTTAAGCGACTTTTTCTAGATGGCCTCCAAGGAATTCATGCCATATAGCCCCTCTTACTGTTCTATCTCAGTCCAGGTACTGTTTCCTAAAGGGCTGTCATACGAATGCAGCTCAATAAGGTTTAGCAGATCTGCAGAATTCCATTTCCTCAAATTTTGTGATTTCCCAAAGACTATAGCAATTATTAGTATACACTATATTGGTGCCATGGATTGTTTCCATAGGACTGGAATTAATTTTAGCTGTAGTTGTAGCCCTCAAAAGCTGGACCTTCTCATAGCAGGGAAGTACACTAAGTAATCTCTGTCTCTAAGAATGCAGACTGTGTTCAGTTCTATAATCAAGTGTGTAAAACAAATGTGAGGTGTAACATTAACTCCTACCAGTCATACCGTACTGTATCCCACTAGAGCTAACAACTAATGCAAGTCTGGATCTCTTAAATCACATGTCAAACTGAGCAGTGTTCAGTCCCTACTAATAATAAACATCTTTTTGTGAAATTTCTCTGTACTAACCTATCTTGTTTAAGGAAGGGAAAAATAAGACAATTATCCGTCACCAGTGCTCGGGGCCAGTTCTAGGGGTGGGGCAGCAGGGCAATAATTCCCCGGGTGCCAGTTTTCAGGGCACTATACTGCTATGCCACTTGCCTTTTTTTGTTCCTGTCTGATTGGCTGACTGTGTGGGGGCTTGGCTCGGGCTGCTGGTGCCAGTGCCACCCAACTGCTCACTGAAGGACTTAAATAAGACTCCCTGGACAATAGTGTTTGTAATGTCTATCTGCCTGTTTCATATATACTATGCAGGTATTTAACTGCTCTTTACTCAATAGAAAGTATTGTGATCAGTTTTCTGTGGTTTTTTATTCTTTTTCCCAACAGAAGCTTGCAAGAATCCCTGCTAATGGACTTGGAGTAAATGTTACAAACCAGGATGGCTTTACGCCACTACATGTGGCTGCACTGCATGGGCACCCTGAGTTAGTCTACCTTTTGTTGAAACACGGTGCCAATATCAGTGCAAAGAATATTAACCATGCCGTACCTCTTCACCTGGCTTGTCAGAAAGGTCACTTTCAGGTAACTGGTTCTCTTCATAGCTATAAGCACAGCAGGTAGATTTTATTGGGGCGTGGGTGGTAGCTCAGTAAGTGTGTGTCCTTGGAGAGAGGAGACTAGAACGGGGAGGAAAGGGGACAAATAAGTAAACTCCTATCCCCTCTCTTCATTCCAGGAAATGGGAGGGTTGGTTCAGGGTAGCAGAGGCCAGAGTATAAAGGGGACTTCATGGTATTGTTCCTAGTGCTGCTTTATGCTGAAGAAGCAGACTGGGCACAGTGAGGCTCTCTGTCTGCTTGGGTAAGGGATGAAGCCTCTTTCAGTAGCCTCAGCATGGATTGTGCAGAGCTAGCCTGAGGATTTTGTTTTGAAGGGAGAAGTGAGTAAACTAGACCAGACGGGTCTGGCCCCTTGTGTTGGAGAGGGGACACAGGATGAATATACTCTGTGTAGTTCTAGTGAGGATGACTGTATTCCTTCTAAATGTTAAACTTATATGCTGCCTCAGGGACTCCCTCCCGAATCCAAAATGGTGATGGGACTTGCAGGACACTGCAGCATCCAGCAGTTTTTCCAGCAAGCCTGTCATGCTTTTCAGGTACCAAGCTAGGAAGGCAAGCTATTGTCACTTTGCAGCAGTCAAATGCAAGTGGGTTATAGCTCTGCTTTACTGCACAACCTGAGAGACCTGAGGTCACCCCACACTCCTGAAAATCAATAGTAGTTCCCAGTTTGTGTGTATCTTCTTTATATTAGTGAGCACACACATGCAGATATCAGAATATATATATAATTTCAAAACACTTGGTTATAGGCAGTCTGTCATAAAGGCATGTATGTGTCCTCTGCATCCATTGTATTCTCTTAGTGAGCTTCTCTATATGGTACAAACATAAAAACTAAAGGTATTTCAAGGGAATCTGAATAGGTGAGGCCTTGATGGTTCTCATTAACTCACTGGGATCCCAGTCCTACTTCCATTGGAGATCGTGGGAGTTTTGCCATGACTTCAGTTGGAAGCATAATCAGGTCCAAGAGACTGTCTTGACTTGTCACTTGGCAGCAGTCGTCAACATGCAGTGAAAATTAGGCCTCCTGGAGTGAAAGAACTAACCCATTAGCCTTCAACCCATTTCTTCAATCCGCAAACTACTTTGACACTGACTCCTTACAACTCACCTTGTATAGTGTATTAACAGTGAGAAATATCTTTACATTCAAGTGAGGCACATCTGGGTGTATTAAAAATTATTTGAGCGTCAGCATTTTAAAGCTTCCATATACAGGCAGCTGGACACTTCTCATTACAAGGTAGAATGACTTATCCCACATTAACCATTTAAAAAGGGCTTCTAGACTGAAAAGATTTTAGTTTTGTGATTACTTTAGCCTCCCAAGCTCAGACACCTCTCTGATACCTATGCTGTGGAGTAGACTTTTAATGTGGTTTCCATGTACATTTTTGTGGTTGAAGTTGATTTAATCAGATTATTAACTTCTTGGGGCAGGGGTTGTGTCTTCATATGTGTTAGTACAGCACCTAGCACAGCAGGAATCCAGTCCTGTTTCTAGGGGGAGGGGTTGGGCCCTCCAGCAATCTTACTGATAACATTCTCAGCCAGAGTGTGTATTTGTAACATCACTTAGGGTATGTCTACACTACGAGGGTAATTCGATTTTACTTAAATCGAATATGTGGAATCGATATTGCAAAGTCGAACGTGTGTGTCCACACTAAGGACACACTAAGGACAGTAATTCGACTTTGTGAGTCCACACTAACGGGGCGAGCGTCGATATTGGAAGCGGTGCACTGTGGGCAGCTATCCCACAGTTCCCGCAGTCCCCGCTGCCCATCGGAATTCTGGGTCGAGCCGCCAATGCCTTCTGGGTAAAAAAAATTTGTCGTCATCCGTCCGTCACTAACGCCCTCCCTCCCTCCATGAAAGCGCCGGCGGGAAATCAGTTCGCGCACTTTTCTGGTCAGTGACAGCGCGGACGCCACAGCACTGCGATCATGGATCACGCTGCGACCATCGCTGCACTTGTGGCCGTTCTCAACACCTCGCAGCTTATCATACACCTTTCCCTGAGGCAGATGCAGAGAAATCGGGCGAGGAGGCTACGGCACCGCCGTGAGAGCCTGAAGTCGGAGAGTGGCACAGAGCTGTCAGAAACCACGAGCCCCAGCGCCCAGGACATCACGGTGGCAATGGGGCATGTGGATTTTGTTGAACGGCGATTCTGGGCCCGGGAAACAAGCACGGACTGGTGGGACCGTATAGTGCTTCAGGTCTGGGATGAATCCCAGTGGCTGCGAAACTTTCGCATGCGGAAGGGGACTTTCCTCGAACTTTGTGAGTTGCTGTCCCCTGCCCTGAAGCGCAAGGACACCCGCATGCGAGCAGCCCTCACTGTCCAGAAGCGAGTGGCCATAGCCCTCTGGAAGCTTGCAACGCCGGACAGCTACCGGTCAGTCGCGAACCACTTTGGTGTGGGCAAATCTACCGTGGGGGTTGTTGTCATGCAAGTAGCCAAGGCAATCGTGAAGGTACTGCTCCCAAAGGTAGTGACCCTGGGAAACGCGCAGGTCATCATAGATGGCTTTGCCGCGATGGGATTTCCAAACTGCGGAGGGGCTATCGATGGGACTCACATCCCTATCCTGGGACCGGACCACCAGGCCAGCCAGTACATCAATAGAAAGGGCTACTTTTCAATGGTGCTGCAAGCACTGGTGGACCATCGGGGACGGTTTACAAACATCTACGTCGGATGGCCGGGCAAGGTTCATGACGCTCGTGTGTTCAGGAACTCTGGTCTGTTTAGACGGCTGCAGGAAGGTATTTACTTCCCAGACCACAAAATAACTCTTGGGGATGTGGAGATGCCTACAGTCATCCTCGGGGACCCAGCCTACCCGCTAATGCCCTGGCTCATGAAGCCCTATACTGGCGCCCTGGACACAGAAAAAGAACTGTTCAACTACCGTCTCAGCAAGTGCAGAATGGTGGTGGAGTGTGCTTTTGGCCGTCTCAAAGGGAGATGGAGAAGCTTACTCACTCGCTGTGATCTCAGTGAAACCAATATCCCCATCGTTATTGCAGCTTGCTGTGTGCTCCACAATCTATGTGAGAGCAAGGGGGAGACCTTTATGGCGGGGTGGGAGCTAGAGGCAAATAGCCTGGCTGCTGATTACGTCCAGCCAGACAGCCGGGCCATTAGAAGATCCCAGCGGGACGCCCTGTGCATCCGGGAGGCTTTGAAAGCTAGGTTCCTGAGTGAGCAGGGCAACCAGTGACTTTTCAGTTTGTGGACAGAGAAGCTGAACCTGCCCCCGTTTCTTTACCCAGTTCATTTTGACTATCCTCTCCAGTTACATACCCCCTTCACCCCCTTCCCCTTCCCAAAAAATAAAATCATTTCGATTTTGTTAATGAACAGCGTTGTCTGTATTGCTGTTTTCGCGGGAATATTTTAAACCGGGGACGCAGACTGTGGCGGGGGGCGGGTTCAGTGTTCTGATGCAAATGATGCTTCTAAACTCCCGGAATGACAGGCTCCGCACTGGTGGACTGGTTATTTCAATGGAGAACATGAAAAACACCTCCCAGACTGACCAGGGTAACCAGTGACTGCACTGTGTATGTGTCCTGATGCTGGACCTGACACCGCCTCTGTACCCTGCTAAAGGTCACTGTCCTGCCCAATTACCAAGCCCCTTCCCCCCCTCCAGACAGACTCTCCCTCAAAAGAACCTGACTGAAACAGTAATGGACAGAAACAAACATTTTATTGCGAACCAGACATGAAACGTGGGGTGTGAAACTTGGACGGGGGCTTCTGTGAGGTGGGTGGGAAAGGACTTATGAAATTTTGGGGAATGTCAGCCTTCTAGTGCTAGAGCAGTCTGCAGGGGTTGACTGAAAGTTTTAACGGCCCTTGCCGCCCCTCCTTCTTTGGAGTTTGGGTGAGGGTGGTGTGGGACTTGGTGGCGGGTGAGGGCGGTTACAGATAGACTGCAGCGGGGCTCTGTCCTCCTGCCTCCGGTCTTGCAGAACATCCACAAGGCGCCGGAGCGTGTCCGTTTGCTCCCTCATTAGTCCAAGCAGCTTTTCAGTAGCCTGTTGGTCCTCCTGACGCCACCTCTCCTCCCGTTCCATGACTGCTCGGTGCATTTGTGACAAGTTCTCCCTCCACTGTGTCTGCTGGGCTGCCTGGGCTCGGGAGCAGTCCATTAGTTCTGAGAACATGTCTTCACGCGTCTTCTTCTTCCTCCGCCTAATCTGCGCTAGCCTCTGGGAGTGTGCTGAGAGGCTGGGTTGGGAGACAGTCGCAGATGTGTCTGTGTGAATTGTGAAAAGGGAGTGAATTCCTGAGACAGATAAATGAAATTGTATACAAAGAACCTAGTCTTTCTCTGTGAACAAGACCATGCACTGCACCTCTCACATGCGCACTCAGGACAAGGTCGAATTTTCGGCCGTCGCCTTCAGTGCCTGTGGACTTGCGGAGGTCTTGGACTGTTCAGAGAACTGTGGCTGGAGACCTGAACTTCTGGAGCGGGCAATAATGGTAAGCCGCAGACTTGTGGCTGCTTAAAACTCCAGCAGTAGCACTGGCCTCCTTTCACATTGAAAGCAATGCCAGTCTCTGCTGCCAGCAATCAGGACAGCATCAACTCTGCCCCTGTCCCACCCCCTCGCGGCTGTCCCAGGGAAAGATCCCTGTATGCTGCCCCTCTCCCTCCACCGCGTGGCTGTAAAGCAGTCCCAATACTAACATTCCCCTCCCTAATTCAAAGCAGGGCGTCATGAGCGACATCACCCTCCTGAGGATCCCGGACACCCAGAGAGAACGCATGCTGCGGGAAAGCATGCAGAAACCGGGGCCGTATGCCGCCATGCTATGTCGGGCCATGATCCCGGAGTACTTGATTGTGGCGTGGAGGGGGCATGTCTGCTACCACGGAGGGCCCACTAAGATCGCCCTACCCCGGAACCTGATCAACAGGCTTGAGCTCTACCTCCACGAGACCTACGAGGAGTTCTCCTACGAGGATTTCTCGTCGATCCCCGGCCACATTGACCGGATTTTCGCGTAGGTGCACTGGGACTATGGAGTGGAGCGTCTTGGGCCTGGGAATCATGGAGTAACGGACATTGTGAAAATTTTTTAAAACACTTGGGACTAAATTGAGAAGAGCCCAAGACAGAGAAATCATGAAAACCCATTTGTTACCTTTGTAAATATTCCTGTTTTGTACCTGATTATTTTTTTACTAGTTTACAGAACTTTTATAAATGTACATTGTTAATAGTATAAATATTACCGTTCTGTTTTAAATAAATGTTTACATGTTTACAGCACTTACTGCTTGATCCTTCCCCTGATTCTGTGTCCGGGGTAAGGGATGGGGACGGTTGGTACGGGATCTCGGTAAGGGTGATGAAGAGCTCCTGGCTGTCGGGGAAATCAGCGGTGCCAGCGCTGTCGACTGCCTCGTCCTCCTCATCTCCTTCTTCATCTTCCCCGTCCGCTGTCATGTCCGACGAGGAACCGGCCGCGGACATGATCCCATCCTCGGAGTCCACGGTCAGGGGTGGGGTAGTGGTGGCGGCCGCTCCCAGGATGGAATGCAGTGCCTCGTAGAAACGGGATGTGTGGGGCTGGGATCCGGAGCGTCCGTTAGCCTCTTTTGTTTTTTGGTAGCCTTGTCTCAGCTCCTTGATTTTCACGCGGCACTGCGTTGCATCCCGGCTGTAGCCTCTCTCTGCCATGGCTTTGGAGATCTTCTCGTAGATCTTAGCATTCCTTCTTTTGGAGCGCAGCTCTGAAAGCACGGACTCATCGCCCCACACTGCGATGAGATCCAAGACTTCCCGATCAGTCCATGCTGGGGCCCTCTTTCTATTAGATTGCACGGCCATCTCTGCTGGAGAGCTCTGCATAGTTGCCACTGCTGCTGAGCTCCCCTCGATGTCCAAAGAGGAACTGAGATTCAAACTGCCCAGACAGGAAAATGAAAATGAATTCAAATTTTCCCGGGGGTGTGGCTGGTCAGAGCATCCGAGCTCGGACTGCTGTCCAGAGCGTCAACAGAGTGGTGCACTGTGGGATAGCTCCCGGAGCTATTACCGTCGATTTCCATCCACACCTAGCCTAATTCGATATGGCCATGTCGAATTTAGCGCTACTCCTCTCGTTGGGGAGGATTACAGAAATCGATTTAAAGAGAGCTTTATGTCGAACTAAATGGCTTCCTGGTGTGGACGGGTGCAGGGTTAATTCGATATAACGGCGCTAAAGTCGACATAAAAGCCTAGTGTAGACCAGGCCTTACTAGAATAGATTTGTGTTGTTCTGGAATAGAAGGTCTTGACCCTGGTCTGTATCCCAAAGAATTGTCACTGTTTACATTGTTGTTTCCTCTGTGCTTTTTGTATTGTATTTGGCATGGATGTGTCAAGAATGACAAATTGAGCTTTCAGAGTAATAGTTCTATTCTCCACAAAAGTAATAAATACTACAGGATATCACCTCTAGCGGTCTCTTCATCATACGTATGCTTAGAAAAACGTATACACCCAGTAACACCCATTCTATGAACTATGGGTCAATCAAACATTTTTTATGTGAAAGAATTCTTTTCACTTCAAAACAAAACAAAAAACAACTTCTTTGTTGGTGGTCTGAACTTTGTGGACAAACAAGCAAAGCAGTTTGCATCAGGCAGTGCTGTCTGCTAATATTTCACGTTCCAAAATAACTAAGGGGTAAGCCTGACATAGAGCAAAAAGGAAGTTAAAGGTTTTTATGTCTTTAAAAAAACCTCCTGTCCACAAAACTCCCCTGAGAAAGAGAGAGAAGATCCCTCCCATGCTGCAGTAACCACTCCCTCAGTACTGACATTGTTTGTGTGAGCTTTCTCCTTCTTAATGGCCTGAAATTACTGTATAATGTAAGTGTTGGCTCAAATGGAACCATTTCATATCAAACACGTTATAATAAATGTCTTGTGCAACCGGCTTTTCATACATATTTTTATTCATTTTTAGACCGATTTCAACCCATGTTTAAAAACTTGTGCCTCATGTTTAAAGATTTAAAAATAAATTAATTTAATAGCTATCTGCTAGCAGCAGAATTTCTGCTAACAGAACTCATGAAATTAGCCTTGCTGAGACTGGGAGTGACGCTGTTTTAAGTAGATTTTCACAAGATTTCATCCCCTCTCCATTTCATTGCCTGGCTTAGGCTCCCTTATGGCTATGTATTCATATACTTTGGGTCATTTTTTTCTTTGTGTCGTGCTCCGTTCTTTTCTGAGGACATGAAGTCATTGAGTTCCTTTTACATGCATTTGCTGCTGCATTTTTAGATGGAATGTGGTCAGTGTTGGACACACCTGAGTTTAGTTTTAGCGTAATGCTGATCCAGGGATTGAAACTTCCTTCTCCTGTTGACAAAACTGTAGTCAGGTGGGTCCGTCTCATCCAGTGGCATGTCAATCTCCTGGGCTTTTCAAAGGGTTTATTCAGTTTCTTTTGAGAACTTCACAGAGGAAGAAAATAGTCTCTCTCTTCAGAGTTCAAGGGTACGTGTGTGTGTATGCATGCACACATCGGTGTCCTTACTGTTGTGGTGGGAGTGCTACGTGCTTCTGCTCTCTAAACACACAGCCAGAGCAGGGAGATGTGCCACCTGAAGCTCTGAGAGTGGTGTTCAGTTCCCTGTTTGTTTCCAGGCTGAGCTGCGGACATGGGAAGTACTGAAGGAGAAAAATAAGCTAGTTGAGGAGGAGTGGGGGAGAGAAAGTGGGTGAAGAGACTGATGTAGGGGAGACAGTAAACGGAAGGGGAAAATATTGGCTGTGAGAAAGCAGGTGGAAAGGACAGAAATGGAGAAGGGGATGAGAAATCAGAGTGAAATGGAAGAAAAATGGAAAATCAGGAGTGTGGTAAGGAGAGAGGAAAAGGAAGTACAATGAATTGAAATGAAGAGAACTTTAAAGAGAGAGAGAGAGAGAGAAAATAGTAAAGAAAATGTAAACAAGAAGAAAAAGGAGGAAAAGATGTCCACAACTCCTAGGTCAGTGAATGTTAGTTCTCTGGTGTTAGACTGTATAGTACTTCCCTGCCAATTATCCTACAACTCCCTAATCTACTAGGATGAGGGATGCCAGGATGGCGTTGCTGTGGAGCATTCATCCTTTATAAGGTCATTGGCCGTGTGTGTGTATGCGCACGCATATAATTCACATGTCCCAGAACCAGGTTATTTATTTTACTGACTATAGGGGACTGGTGGGGAAAGTTTCAAATTAACTTGTTTTAACTTCTAAGGAGCAAAAGATTAAAACAAAGTAGGTAGAAAACTGTGCCAGGTGGTCAGCAGTTGACCTGGAGAGAAGCATCCTGCTGCTGCTTGTCAGCCATGACGATTGCTGCGTCATCCAGATAGTTACCAAGCAAAGCATCCAGACTTCAGACAGAGGAAAAGTCTTTTCATTATCTGGATTTTCTTTGAATGTTAAATTTATATTGGATCCTTTAAGGATCTCCTCCAGCCTGTTTATTTTAAAGGAAAGTAAATTGCATGTATGCATGTAGCATTCCTAGATTAGGTGCTTAAAATAACTAAACCTTCTTATCATAACCAGTGGAAACATATACTGAAATTACTGCTTTTTCCATCTATCTGTGTTCATTCTCCAGGAACTTAACTTCCAAAAGTTGACTGGTAAATTTGGGTGCCTCCATTTTTGGCAGCCCCACTTTGAACAAGCCTGGTTTTCAAAAAGTGCTGAGCATCCAAAATCAGTAGTCACATTTGAAAATGTAGGCCCATATAAGTCTGATGGGCATAGGTAACAAATCAGCCTTTAGATTGTCTGCATAAGATGCTCCTTATTGGCATTATAACAAGTTGGCACAATATAGGAACACAGACCAAGGGGTACACAAGGTTCAAGAACCCAGATTCTGATTTTTGTCCTAGTTTAAACCAGTGTTCTCCGCATCAGCGGGACTCTTAAATTAAACCTGGTTCTGAGTATCTGAAACACTTCAGTCTTGATTTACAGTATTAGAAAATGTATTCCATTAGAAGTGTCATTAATGGTGATGCAGTAACTACAATGGTATTTTAACTCTATGATTCTGGTAAGTTAAAGTATTTTAAACTGGCATTTTAATATCTCTCTTCCCATAGGTAGTAAAGTGTCTAGTGGATTGCAATGCTAAACAAAATAAAAAGGATGTACATGGAAATACTCCCTTAATTTATGCTTGCTTGAATGGCCAACATGAGGTTGCTGCCTTGTTGTTAGAGGTAAGATTTCTTCACAGAAAAGGTTACGTTTAAAATATCCATTCTCTTGTGATGGAACCTTTAATATTACATGTACTGAGTACAAAACATTAGTATTAATACTAGTAATGCATTTCTCTTTTAAAACTTCTGGAAGGAAAATTGAGAGCAGTTCTGCATCCCGCCCCCTCCCCCCCCATTAACTCCATCCCCTATGGTGTTTTGTTTAGATAAATACTTCCGTAATGTTACTGCAAGTAACACTTATTATTTAACAACTTAGTGCCTGGTGTCTAGCTTTTCTGATCCTGGTGTATGTCATCAGAATTCCAGATAACTGGTAGCAAAAGTTGATAATATACCAAAAGCATTTTCTTCTTAAAACTCTCTCTCAGGCCTCACCAACATGAGCTGGGATATGTAGCAGATGTATGCAGAATTAGATAAGTTGATTCATGAAATTAAGGGGAGAATGATCATTGTTGTAGGGTTTATTGCTGTTGAATTCACTGTGGAAATCTACACTTTCTGTATGTAGCTGTAATGTTTCTAATTGATTGTTTTGATATAGTACTCTATGTGCTTTTTTACAGGAGACAAAGAGAAAGGTAGTGTGCTGCCTCCAGTTGATGCTATTTTTTCCTTATAACATTTAATTCAATTTTTTACTTTTCCTTCCAGCATGGGGCCTCTGTTAACCTTTCTAACAGCAAGGGAAATACAGCACTGCATGAGGCTGTGATAGGAAAACATGAAGTCTTGGTAGAGCTGTTACTTCAGAATGGTGCTTCGAACCACATTAGGAACAAAAGGCAGTGTACACCTCTTGACTGTGCTGAGCTGGTAGGTGAAGAAGTCCACTTCTAGTATTAGTTTTTGTCCCATTTTAGCTTGTTCTAAACCCCAGTATTGATCTTTTAGGAGGAAAATGGAATCGTACAGGCTTGTCACATAACCATTTCCAGCCAAACATAAGCGAAGATTGTCAGGAATACTGTTAATTTAAAATGATAGGCAAGAAATCATGAAGCACAATGAAGCTCTAGTGCTAACTCGATAAATCTTGTCTTTGTTTAACATCTTACAATATCATTTCTCTCCTTCAGTTTTGTTTTATCACAGGTCTGTTGAGAATTTCCAGCTAAACAAAATTTCCTTCTGTTTGAACAGCCACATTTGAGCTCCTCAGTAGCATTCTAACTCTGTTTCCAGAGGACTAGAAATTGACTTGTTTTGGTTCTTTTAATTCCATGTAGCTTCAGTAGAACTGTCGGGCTAAAACAGCATATACCACAAGGAACTGTGTTGCAAACATATTGGTGAAAGCAAAATAGAATTGGGGTACCCATCTCTGTTGACTCTTAATGAAAAACTGGCAGTGGTTACTTATTGAAATCCACAGCAAAATATGCCATCAGGGAGGGAAAAGACAAAACAAAACATACTTTAGTAAAAGAGGATGGAAGCTTTATGTATATGCAGACCAAGTAATTCTCTGACTTAAATTATCACTGGATGTGCTTCATGGTTGGGGGAGTCAGAACAGTTTGAAGGACCATATTGTTAAGTACTAGAATTCTTTTTTCTCCCTTAGGAGAATCCTTGCTTGTTTTATTTCTGAAATTAAGCATATATTATGCAGAAGAAAAAATTAGTCTGGAAGCAGCATAAACACATACAGACGTACAAATGTGTGACCGTTAAGTTAAAATTCAAGCTGGGAATGGCAGAAGGGGAGGAAAGAAGTCCATTGAGGGAAGCTGAATGCTGTCTACCATAGATAATAGTGAGGCAGATTGTTCAAAGGAATAAGGGCTCTTCAGATTGTTTGTTTTTCTCCTATCATATATTTCCAAAATCCATTGTCAGGGAAAGCAATGTTTTAGACCCATTTGCAGTCCCTCTTGAATACATCCCTTAGGTGCCTGGCTTGGCTTCCTTCTCTTCACTGTGTTTCAATCTCTTGGATTTCTGGGTTGCAGTGCCCTGTGTTACAGTGCCTGTAAATACGACAGGCCTAACTGTATTAGGCACCTGCAAGAAACTTTCCTTTGGGAGCCTGTGACCAGTGGCTAATTATAGTGACCTCAAAACAACTTCTTCAGAACAAATGTATTGTTTATTCACCCAAAGGTGTATAACCTCGCAAGCAAAGAGAAAAGGGTTAAAACATCAAAAGTCTATATGAATCTGGTCTAATCTAAACTTTCCTTACAAATTTTGGTAAGCACCACTTAGCTCAATTATATCCATTTCTGTGCTGGGAGCAACATAGCCCTGCTGAAGCTTCTCTCTCTCTCTCTGTTTCCCCCTGAGCAGCTGCTGCCCAGCCCCAACTTCCTCTCTAGGTGAGGGTTTTAATGGTTTAGTATCCCTTTGATCCTAGGTTCTGGCCTTGGGGGAATAAATCAGGAACCAGGTGGGTAGGCATTTCCTGATTCAATAGTGTATCTCTTCCCCCTCTCCTCACTTTCTGTTAAGGACTCCTAGTATTCTCTGTGGAGGTTTCTATCTCTTTTTTCATTTCCTGCTTGTTTTTTTTCCCCTAACTGCCCCTTTGATTTAACTCTGTGTAGTCAGACAGAATTAATATCAAGCAAATAAACTGGGGTACATATAAAATTCATGCAAAATAATACAGTTTCCCCCTCATTCTCCACATCCATACGTACCTCTCTTCTGATGCAAACCTTGCTCACTCCCTGATTGATGTCTCACCTTGATTACAGAAACCTTTTTTTCCAGTCCTCCATTTTCTTCTCTCCCCCTCAAATTTGATATCAGCCGCACTGCTAGTTGTATTCCTCACTCCAGCTATCTCCACATTTTCCCTTCACTCCCTTTTGCTGTTTCTTACCATGTCAAACTCAAGCCCTTCTCAGCCTCCCCTTCAGAGGTCATGCATGATCTTGCCTCCAAGTCTTCTTGCTTCAGCCTATTGCCTTTTCTTACTCCCTACTCTCTTCCTAAACCACTCCTTTTATTGTCCTTTTTCAGGCTGCTACCTTATGCTTGGAACAGTGCCCCACTCCTTGCCTGTCTGGTGCCCTCTCTTCCAAGAATACATCCTACACTAGTCTCATCTTCTCTAGTAATCGCCTCACACTCTCCCTTACCTGAATTATTGTCTGTTTGCCCTTTGGGGCGTGCCTACCTCTTGTAACACACTGTGTTCAGTGAGTCAGGGAAATTTAAAGTGACTGTACTTTTTTTTTTTTAAGAAGAAAATGGGAGGAAGATTATATTTTAAAATATAAAACAGCAAAAGCCTCCTTTCTGAGCCACATGGATATGGCCCATATATAGTATATAGTCATGCTCTGAGGGAAGAGCACTCTGGGAATCTACTATGGCTGCTCCCCTAGTTATTGCTTTAGTAATGCTTTAGAACTCAAGACAAAATTGGGATATTCTAATTGGCTGTGAGTGATGGGAATCCCACCTAAATAATGTTTAGTTAAATGCACAGATCTAACTTCCCCATTTAGAAATAGCAATAAACGCTCCACAATATTAAATTAGACGGGATTATTGCACTGCTTGGGTGATTACAGTCACTCTGCTTTCAGCTTTGTGCTCTATAACAGCCCCCAAGGCATGTGATAGTGGCCCTAAAGTGCACTGCTGCCTGGATCTTATTACTTCTATTATTTATTCATAAATTAGATCAACCCATAAATTACCCGGTTTAAAACAGCAATTTGTAGAATTGGTAACGTTCATCTTTTCCAAATCTGGAATATTTTAATGGTAGAACATCTGTGAAGAATACAACCTTTAGCTCACCAGTTTGGAATAGCAGAGCTTGTGGAACATTAGACGAATTTCTGCTTCCATTTAAACTTGGGATTAAAATAGTCATGTAATTGTAGGTTTGTATTTATAAAGGTGTATATCATGCTGTTTGTTGCAATCATTTTGGCTGAAAATGATTAACCAGCACATTCTACATTGACTACTGGAACCCTAATGTATACTGATGTTTTCTTTGTTCTAATAATGGTGAAAACTGAAACTCTTGTTGTTAAGAATTCAAATATCATGAAGTTGCTACAAACAGCACCAAGCTATGCACCAACATCAGCGGAGGGAGGAGAAACAGACTATGAGCAGCATGTTACTATCAAGATCAGGAAAAAAGGTATGTGTCACATTTTTATTAGTATAAATAGAAAGAAGAGATTTGGGGATGAATGTGTGCTAGATCAGATATTCTGTAGTATTTATTTTATACATAATATAGCTTTAAGGAACAGTCAGCTGCTTTACATACTGTTTATTACAGGTAACACCTAAATTTACTGGAACTGAAAAAGATTGGAGGAGGGAAAGTAATTTGGCTGTTAAATTTACCTTGTGCATTTGATGTTACTTTGCGCAACTTTCATAGTCTCTTCTGAGTAGTCAGTTTTCTCTTTTTGCTCGTGAGTCTCTATCAACAGAAGAGAGACATTTAACAGTGGGGAAAATGTGGCAGTAAAACCATCACAGCTGCTGGGGAATTGAAGAGAGGGTGGTACCTGACACTGCTTTTAGTTTACTTTTTAAAATTGTGACTAGATTTCAGGTTGGCTGTTCCTTTTACACAGTATGGAATCTGTAATGTACAGAGGTCCATTTGTGTTTATACAAAGGGAGAAGAGAATTTGTTAATTCAGTATTCCTGTGTGTTTGCTTTGTGGTCTTCTCTTAATATATGTAAGGATAATTTTTTAAGAGAGGTATGTGGAAAGAAGAGAGGGCTAGGATCTATGTTACTTCACCGAAGACCTATTTCATCTGAAAAAAATATGTTCAAATAGTCAAGTAAATAGGCAGAATCTGAGTTTAAAGTTATTTATGCTGAAAAGCTGCCTTGAAAACTGTGTGAAGGAAGTACTCTCAGTAGTTGTGCTAACTAGCTGCTCATGTTTGGAAACAAATACAATCAGTGCTACTAACTCTGCACTAAGCTATGGCAAAGTGCCAGTCTTGCCTTAAAATCCACCTGCAGCTCTTCAGTTTCTCAGATGAACTGATATGAGGGGGAGCAATATAACAGGAAAGATAAGTGGCATATTCGTGCTTAGCATCAGAAAAGGGCAGCACCTGGTGTAAGGAAGACTTAAGTCTCTGCTTTTGTTTGTGTACATGCAGCTAGTTCATCGACTCGTTACATCCCAGTTGATCACTGGGCGGTAGCATTCTGTACCTATGTTGAAATACACACGTTCCTTGAATTTGAACTCAGGGATAGCAGTGGTTTTTGTCTGCTACAGCAAGCAGTGGTTTTTGCTTTGCTAGGTTCATAAGGTAACCTGCGGGTCTGGTTGGTGGTCCTGAAATATCCTTACACCTGGTGCAATCCAAACCAACACACTGAAGCACACACTGCTTGCCTACCTAATACATACATATGTTATGTAATGTATTTTGTGTTAGCACTTAGCATCAGGGGGTATGTCTACACTGCAATTAAAACCCACAGCGGGCCCATGTCAGCTGACTCAGGCTTGCGGGCTCTGGCTAAGAGGCTGTTCAATTACGGTGTAGCCATTCGGTCTTAGGCTGGCGCCCAAGCTTGGGGACCCAGTGAGAGGGGAGCATCCCAGAGCTTGGGCTTCAGCCTGAGCCTGGACATCCATACCACAATTAAACAGCCCTTAGCCCAAGTCCAAGTCAGCTGTCACTGGCCACCTGGGGGTGTTTAATTGCAGTGTAGACATACCCAGGAAGTCCTGGAGAAGCGAAGTGCCTTTCAGTCTTCTGCTGGGAACTGTGATTACAGCCCGTAACTTCATTTATTTTTATATGTTAATTTTTTTTATGTGATGTTATAACCTCCTGCAGGATGAATGGAATTTTATTTTTACTTTTTTTAGTAGCACCCAGATGTTTGGAGTCAGACATATCCCTTTGTTTGTTTTGCCCTAAGGAACAGTGATCGACTAAGTCCAGCATTCTTTCTAATTAGCTTGTACCCATATGGATGTTTTGCCCTATTTGCCTATGCTTCAAAAGCTCATCCATCTTAATAACGTTCACTACAGGGAAAAAATCTTATTTCTACCAAAATTACTTAACTTATTCAATAGATAAACTTCAGTATTGATTTTTTGAGGACTCTCTACAAACGTATGTAACTTTGTTACCATAACTATGACATCAGACACTTTTGGACAGGCATCAATAAGGTTGAATCAAAATATAATGTGTATCTCTTAAAATAATTGATTTATAATGATGTCCAAATGTATGAATGCAGTTTGGTTTTCAGTGTTGCTACTGTTTTCAAAATTATAATGCTATTCCTGCTACAGGACTAATCACATCTTTTCATGAGAAATACATTTTAAAAAAATCAGAGTTTTAGTAGTAGTTTAAAATAATGTTGGGAGCTAATTAGAATCCACGGTACACAATGCCCATGCCTGCCTATTTTGGGAAGTTTGTTGCTGTGACAGTGGTGACAAGCTCCACAGCAGGTTTTTGAAGCTAGAATGGGACACTAAGAGTAGCCTCTGGGCCCTTAACATGTGATCAGTTTAAACATAATACATCAAGGCTTTAGTTAACAGAGGGATTCAGATTTTGGTTGTGGATCGGGCAGTAGGTCTTAGTATTGTGAATGATGATGTTGATAATTAAATGAAGTTGAGTCACTGCTTTAAAAACTTGCTTTGGCCAACCTGCAAATTTTGGTGAGCTTTTACAAATGATTATGGTGATTTTCTGACATTTTTCTTAAGAAAGATGATAAATGTTTTGTAGTTTAACATGAGAGTTAGAGAAGTATCCTGATGCGAGAGGCAGAAATGCTACTTTCAGGAATGATGGTGGCAGTTTCATAGAACTGTAAGATAGCCATGACATAATAAATCTGAATAACACTGGGATTATGTGGTGGTTGTTCGTCAACTGATTCGGACTTGGAAACATTTGAACTGAAGTCCCTGAACTCGAGAACTATTTTTACATAGTTTAACAAAATGCCCTTGTGAAGCTGGGACAGTCATGCTCATCTGATCAGGGCTATGTTTCTTTCTTTTTGCAACTTAAAATGGCTTAAAACATCCAAGAAGAAGAAAATGTGACTGGTTCAGATGACTTCTGTTATAGTTTTTAATGTGATTTTAAAAATTAAGTTCAGCAGATACCACTTTTCTATTCAAAACTGTTCTAACTTGATTCTAAAATATGACTGAAATTTAATTTCTCACCCTCCATCTCCATCCCCGCTCCTGGTTTTTTGAACCTGTAGTAAATGTTAAGTTACCTGAGACAGCAGATGATCCCATCAGCAGACGACTTCAACTGGTCCAATCAATCAACAGATTTAACAAGTAAGCATAGAAACCTCCTTGAAATACCACTGACATCATTTCCCAACAAGTAAGAAACCTAACTTTTTAAATAAAGAAGAAAATGGGTGACGCGTATATCACACTCCAGATAAGCTTTGGCTGGCATTTTCATAGCAGTCTAAGGGATTTTACTACACATTTCTCATTCATTTTAATGTGTGGCAAAAGCATCTAGACTGCTTTGAAAATCTCCTCCAAGCACTGCTTCACTGAGATATTTGAAAACTGTGATGATGATGACTCTTTTGATAATTGCAGATACTTGTATTTAAGCTCTTATACATAGAATCATAGGACTGGAAGGGACCTCGAGAGGTCATCTAGTCCAGTCCCCTGCACTCATGGCAGGACTAAGTATTATCTAGACCAGTGGTTCTCAAACTAGGGCCACCGCTTGTTCAGGGAAAGCCCCTGGCGGGCCAGGCTGGTTTGTCTACTTGCCGCGTCCGCAGGTTCAGCTGATCGCGGCTCCCACTGGCCGCGGTTCGCCGTTCCAGGCCAACGCTCCAGGCCAGTACTCCCTCCTAGGCAGGAAGCGGCACAGGCCAAGGGATGTGCTGGCTGCCCTTCCTGCAGCCCCCATTGGCCTGGAGCGGCGAACCGCGGCCAGTGGGAGCCGCGATCGGCCGAACCTGCGGACGTGGCAGGAAACCCGGCCCGCCAGGGTTTTTCCCTGAACAAGCGGCAGCCCTAGTTTGAGAACCACTGATCCATCCCTGACAGGTGTTTGTCTAACCTGCTCTTAAAAATCTCCAATGATGGAGACTCCACAACCTCCCTAGGCAATTTATTCTAGTGCTTAACCACCATGACAGGAAGTTTTTCCTAGTGTCTAACTTAAACCTCCCTTTGTGCAATTTAAGCCCAATGCTTCTTGTCCTAGCCTCAGAGGTTAAGAAAAACAATTTTTCTTCCTCCTTCTTGTAACCACCTTTTACATACTTGAAAACTGTTCTCCTGTCCCCTCTTAGTCTTCTCTTCTCCAGACTAAACAAACCCAGTTTTTTCAATTTTGCCTCATAGGTCATGTTTTTTAGATCTTTAATCGTTTTTGTTGCTCTTCTCTGGACTTTCTCCAATTTGTCCACATCCTTCCTGAAATGTGGTGCCCAGAACTGGACACAATACTCCAGTTCAGGCCTAATCAGCGTGGAGTAGAGCGGAAGAATTACTTCTCATGTTTTGCTTACAACACTCCTGCTAATACATCACAGAATCATGTTCGCTTTTTTTGCAATAGTGTTACATTGTTGACTCATATTTAGCTTGTCCACTATGATCCCCAGATCCCTTTCCGCAGTACTCTCTCTTAGGCAGTCATTTCCCATTTTGTATGTGTGCAACAGATTGTTCTTTCCTAAATGGAGTACTTTGCATTTGTCCTTATTGAATTTCATCCTATTTACTTCAGACCATTTCTCCTGTTTGTCCAGATCATTTTGAATTATAATCCTATCCTCCAAAGCACTTTCAACCCCTCCCAGCTTGGTATCATCCACAAAGTTTATAAGTGTACTGTGTATGCCATTATCTAAATCATTGATGAAGATATTGAACAGAACCGGACCCAGAACTGATCCTTGCGGGACCCCACTTGTTATGCCCTTCCAGCATGATTGTGATCCACTGATAACTACTCTCTGGGAACGGCTTTCCAACCAGTTTTGCACCCACCTTATAGTAGCTTCATCTAGGTTGCATTTCCCTAGTTTCTTTATGAGAAGGTCATGCGAGACAGTAGCAAAAGTTTTACTAAAGTCAAGATATACCACGTCTACCGCTTCCCTCCCTCCCCCCCCAATCCACAAGGCTTGTTACCCTGTCAAAGAAAGCTATCAGCTTGGTTTGACATGATTTGTTTTTGACAAATCGAGGCTGATTGTTACTTATCACCTTATTATTTTCTAGGTGTTTGCAAATTGACTGCTTCATTCTTTGCTCCACTATCTTTCTGGGTACAGAAGTTAAGCTTACTGGTCTATAATTCCCTGGGTTTTCCTTATTTCCCTTTTTATAGATTGGCACTATATTTGCCATTTTCCAGTCTTCTGGAATCTCTCCCATCTTCCATGACTTTTCAAAATTCATTGCTAATGGCTCAGATATCGCCTCTGTCAGCTCCTTGAGAATTCTAGGATGCATTTCATCAGGCCCTGGTGACTTAAAGACATCTGACTTGTCCAAGTAATTTTTAACTTCTTCTTTCCCTATTTTAGCCTCTTCTGATCCGACCTCATTTTCACTGGCATTCATTATGTTAAATGTCCAATCACCACCAACCTTCTTGGTAAAATCTGAAACAAAGAAGTCATTAAGCACCTCTGCCATTTCCACATTTTCTGTTATTATTTCCCCCCGTCATTGAGTAACGGGCCTACCCTGGGTCTTCCTCTTGCTTCTAATGTATTTGTAGAATGTTTTCTTATTACCCTTTATGTCTCTAGCTAGTTTGATCTCGTTTTGTGCCTTGGCCTTTCTAATTTTGTACTATATACTTGTGTTATTTGTTTATATTCATCCTTTATAATTTGACCTAGTTTCCACTTTTTGTAGGACTCTTTGATTTTTAGATCATTGAAGATCTCCTGGTTAAGCCATGGTGATCTCTTGCCATACTTCCTATCTTTTCTATGCAGTGGGATTGTTTGCTCTTGTGCCCTTAATAATGTCTCTTTGAAAAATTGCCAACTGTCTTCTATTGTATTTCCCCTAAGACTTGCTTCCCATAGGATTTTATCTACCAACTCCATGAGTTTGCTAAAGGCTTCCTTCTTGAAATCCATTGTCTTTATTTTGCTGTTCTCCCTCCTGCCATTTCTTAGAATCATGAACTCGATCATTTCATGATCACTTTCACCCATGCTGCCTTCCACTTTCAAATTCTCAACAATTCCTTCCTATTTGTCAAAATCAAATCTAGAACAGCCTCTCCCCTAGTAGCTGCCTGCACCTTCTGAAATAAAAAATTGTCTCCAATACATTCCAAGAACTTATTGGATAATCTGTGCCCTGCTGTGTTGTTTTCCCACCAGATGTCTGGGTAGTTGAAGTCTCCCATCACCACCAAGTCCTGTGCTTTGGATGATTTTGTTAGCTGTTTAAAAAAAGCCTCATCCACCTCTTCCTAGTTAGGTGGCCTGTAGTAAAATCCAAAGTATATTCTATGCTCAATAGTTGTTTATCCACAGAAAATACTAGATTTTTTTTCTGTTTTTGTTTTTAATATGAACACACACTTCAGGTACCCGATCTTTGTATGTTATTGAAATGTTGCCATCTTGTGGCTGATGAGTCCACAAGATTATGTTGCAGAGAGACTGTCACTAAAGACATGTTGCTTTGTAGTTAATTCCAATCCTTTTAAAATATATTTTTAGATCAAAATATTTACGGAGAACAATAACAAGAGATAAAAGTGTCCCTAATTTTGATGACGAATTATTGCATCAGGTAGGAGAAAATGTTTGCTTGAGTTCTTTATATAGTAATTTTATTTGCTTCTACACTTCTGGAGTACTCATGTCAGTTCTTACATCTCCTCTGTTTAGTTACTCGTTGCAGGCTCCATCTGTGTGTTGTCTGTGTCCTGCCCAGAGCAATCTGGGATATATATATCAAGCCTTAGAGGGCCAGAACATATGAGAAAAGAGCTGTAGTCAAGCGGAGATGAAACTGACACTATTGGGGGGTTTTAAGTAGGTTGAGCAAGAATCCTAGAAGAGACCATTAAGGTGGGAGACCTTGGTGTTGAGATTCCAGATGGTTCTTACATTATAAGCGCTAATGTGCCCATTGTTAGGGAGGGATTGTTTGCAAGTAATTAAGGCAGCAAACTGGGTGTTGGAACTCCTGAGTTCCATTCCCAGCTCTGCCACAGATTTCTTTTGTGACATTGGGCAAGTCACTTAATCAGTCCACCACTGATTCCCCACCTGTAAAATGGAAGAATGCTTTTCTGCTTCATAAAGTTATGAGGTTTTGTAAAGCACTTTGAGATCTTCAAGTGAAGATGCTCAATACGTTATTACTTCTAACCAATACTAACCATAATACATCAACGGTTTAGTTAACAGTGGGATTTCGGACTTTTGGTTGTGGATCAGGCAGTAGGTCATACCAAGATGGGGGTTTCCAAAAAGTTGATGTGCAAAAACAATATACAGTACTTCTGCCATGGGTGGCTGTTAGCACTATGATTTTACTAGAGCTTTGAGTTCTAAATTATTACATTAATTTGAATTTTGGAGATGCCCATTCTGAAACTTTTGGAAGATCTTGTTTCAGGAAAAGCTTTTGGTAATGACTATTTTTGATTATTCTTATTTATAGACCATCTATCATTAATATACCTGGACTTTATTTTTAGTTAAAGTTAACTAAAAATACTAAAGTAACTCCTGTAAAATATCCAGTGTTCCAGGAGAACCACCCCTTTGCCAAGCAAAAAATAACCAAGATGGGGAGGTGTAGGTGTGAAAGGGGGAATTAAAATAGTTAAAGATGCAGTGAATGAAAGGGAGAGGCCTTGAGGACAGCTACAGAGACACTATGGCAGACAAGGATCCTGCATCCAGTCCAATTACGCCTGGAAGTCTCAACTGAGAGCAGTGACAATTTGGGTGATCTCAGTAGTCTTGGAGGGTAGAAATGGTGGTTGCTTAGGTACTTGAGTCCTTGATTTAGAGAGAGCACTGAATATGAGACAGCTTGAGTTTTATTCCTAGCTTTGGTGGTGACTTTTTGTATAGTCTAGGCAAATTACTTAATATCTCTGTACTTGTTTCCCCATATGTAAAATGTAATGATTATGCTTCTTTGTAAAGCACTTTTAATCCTTGGCTATATGCCTTACGTACTTTTTGATACTACTGTATAATAAAAGTAGACCTTGGAATGAATCTGTAGGCTTATATTTAAAATGTAGTCTTTTGACCTTTTTATGGACTGAAAAATATACAGTGCCTTTAACATCTACCATTTTTTCTTTCCCACAGTTAGCTATTAAGAGCTTTGATAAGACCAAGTTAAAACCTATTGACCAGATGTTGGACCAGAGCAAAGTTAAGATTATTGACGCAGAAAGCAATGGTGAACCTGCGAAACAGGATGATGTGATAGATGCTCCTCTTAGAAGTAAACTAATGCACCGAAGACACACAGTTAGTGTGGCACTTTCAGCAGAGAATGTCAGTGACGACAGCGATTTATCCAACAAAAGAGATCCAAGTATTTCACTGTCAAAAGACTGTTCTGGTGACTTGCTATCAGAACACTAACAAGGAAGTGTGAATTTGCTGCCAAAAACTAAAGAACCAGGTGGTGCCAGTTTCAAGATCCTCATGCTGGGCATTAAAGAATTAAATGATGCTTAGAAACTGCTTTCAAAAATGGATCATAAAGATGAATCTTTAGCAGAGGCAGAATGTTCCCATATGGCTTGCACTTTTGAAGACTGAATCCTCTGTTTATCGTGGAAACCCCTCCCCAGCCAATTTGTGACTGATTTCAGGAAACTGAGACATATTGAAATGTCAAAGTATTTAGACAGAAAGAAGTGATTGTTTCCCATTCCACTTTCAAAGCACTTATTAAGAAATTACTTATAACAGTAGAGGAGAAAGGCTATATAATACTTTCTAGCTACCCACTCCTGTTTTTTAAAAGGCATTGAATTATTTTTTTCTTTTCAGTTTTTGTCACTAAATTGGTTATATTATATTTATTGCCAGAAGGAATTCAAAAGTCTCTATTTTTATTATAATGCTATGAACCACTATATTTATTTAATAGCATTTTAGAAATTAATGTAATTTCTGTATATTGCAACTGGCTGCACAAACAGTCCATAAAAATCTACAGCATGACGTAAACACCTTTAAATGAGATGAACGGTAGTATCCTGCAGTCCCTATATAGACAAAGCGCCCCCTGATTTCAGTGGAACATTTACCTGCATAGGGTCTGTAGGATCATGTACTACTGGGGATGGAATAAAATAAAATGCTCTCGCCGCAGAACAGCTTTGGACTGAAGAATGTTCAGATCCAAATTAAAATATTAATTTCTGTGCAGAAACAAGCATGCTTAACACACACATTTGGCTTTTCCCCCTGAACAAATCAAACAAAGCCACACACATTCACACCTCTGCACGAAGCCTACAGCTACTAGGTAAGTTATCTGGCAGGAAAAGTAAGAGTTTGCAGAAACTGGCTGCATGTTATCCTATTTTAAAAGGTGATATTTTAAAGGATGCTCATAGATAATTAGATGGAAGCTTAGATGTGGAACTTGTTTCTTAAAAAAAGTTTTTTAAACTGAAAACATGTTAAGTGTGAATTAAAAAGAAAAAGACTTCAATAGCACAATTCAGGTTCTTAATGATAGTTTTGGTTTACAGGTGGTCACATCCAATTAACATTTTGTTTCTTTTATAAAATAGTAATATAGACCATTTTGATTTTTTATGGTGGTATTGATACCATGCTTAGGGCACTGTGAAATTGGAGGACTTCCCATGTGATTGTTTTCAAATAATTTTTTATGAGAGAAGTAAAAGGTGCAGCCTGTGCACACCAATGAAAAAACTGTAAGATGAAGGTTGCATGTATATTTTTCTAAATAATTTGGGTTCATTTAATTTTCTAACTTGCCTTGGATTTGTGCCAAATGTTGGAAAAGAAAAATAGTAAAAGTAATGATTCTTGAAAATGTTCTTAACTTTGACTACTTATTTAAAAACCAACTCCCTTTAGCACGGTCTTCTCACTGTTATTGTAACTTAATGTTTGATTATTTTACTTTAAGCCTAAGGATGGTTTAGGAATAGTTACATTAAGTTTGGATGGCTTCCCCTTCCCCACACCTTCATATTACCACTGAACATGCTTTTCTCCCTTTGAGCTTTTTTCTTTAACCTAATATAAAGGCCTGCATATAAAAGGGAAAAAGTTACAGAAGCAGTTGGATTTAAATGGGATATTTCCTATTTCTAGATGACTTCGATGTATGTCCTTCCCTTTCTGCCCCATACTATTTATAAACAACTTGAGAAAAAAGATGATCTTGTGCTTAAATTACAGCAGGAGACATGGACTGTACTTTTGGTCCTCAAAACAGACTTTGAATATGACCTATGGCAAATCCCTTATTGTTACTCTATTTAAAATTGGGTTAATTACCTACTTAACATAGGGTTGTTTCATGGCCAAATTTATTTTCTATAAAGTGCCTGGACATGTTTAGCTGGAAGGTGCAAGGTATCATTTGTAAATTTAAGATTAAAATATGGGTAAACTTATTTAAAGAGAAAGCGTGAGCACATTTTTACAATTGATTTGTGGGGATTAACTTCAGTTTTTAATTACAGCATTCTCTTAAACAAAAGATTGCCTATCTGCCTGCTTCAGTAAAAAATGAAGTTGAATAATGAGAGATTCAGTTAATTAGATGCTTTTAATAGTTGCAATAGTATATTACTATCAAGTATAAAAAGAGATATGGAAGTAAGAATTCAATGCAACATATTCAAACAGTCCAAGTATATTTCATTAGGTATTTATTATAAACCTATTATGCGGACTAGCTTTGGCAACAAGATTTGTCATGCTGTTTATTCAGTGACCCCTCTCCTTTGGAAAATACACTTCTAATCCTGCTCTTTTACTCCTTTTGGGAAAAAACGAGAGATAAATGTAAGTGGATCTGAAATTAACTAGTTAAAGCTTTTAAAATGTTGCTAGTAACAAACTAGATGCAACTCCTAACAAAAATTTCAATACGGTACAATACTTACTGCAAAATACTTTATACTTCAAACCTATTTCTATGCAATTAATAAAACAGCTCCCGTAATAGTGTTTGTAATAAGCTTCAGCATTGATTTTTTTTTTTTGATTTTTTTTTGACCTGAGTCTGAGCTGTTTCCCAATCACTGTCTAACTTTTCATTTGGAGGAAACTGCTTGCATCTTCAGCCTTGTCTGTTGGGATACTATTGTGATTGCCTCCCTGAAAGCTTCTCAAAAGTTTCAGTAATCTTAATTTCCCCTGCAGAAGTCAAAGTATCTCAGATACTTACAATAATAAGTAGTCCTGAGCATGGGTAACATGGATGGATGGTTCAAAACTGCTAGAGCGCTTCAGTTATCAAAACAAGGAGACACTAAAATGATGTGGCACATTGAACCAAGTTTTTAATGTTTGACTAGAACTGCCCAACCAGTGATAGGTTGGGGTGTAGTTTTTTAAAAACCAAGACGACACCTATGCTCAATTCTAGGTCATCCATCCATTAATATAGTGCAATACATACAGCAAATCTCACTGAGCAAACCAAGACTCCCCTCATCACAGCTCTCCCCCAAATACCTCTTCAAAACAATGGATTTGCAGTATAGTCTGCATGTGGTCAAGTTCTTCTTGCTCTGAAACAGCATCTGTGAATTCTAAAGTCACAGAAGCCCCCCACCTCAGCAGTTCCATCATTGCTGTTACTATGATCATACATGGCACAGAGAAGGGGCAGTCCTTCAAGTAAGCAGGTTCCAGAACATTTAGGGCACTTAATTTTTTTTTTTATAAAACCCACCTATTTTTTTCAGCTGAAATGGACAGGTCTGCACTATAACAACTCTGTTTGATATGTTTCACTAGATGTTTGACACTTATCTCCCACTCTTTGTAACCCAGTATGAGAAACATGACTGCTTCAGTCCCAAAATGACTCAAAGCTTTGCTGCTATGAAGCAAACTTAAGTTGTGAGTAAAAGGCAGGGCCTGCTCACAGAATCTGGCAAGAACAGGACTGATATTGTAGAAACACATTCCTAAGCAGTGCTACGCACAAGAACACAAACACCCCATACCAAGTATGGTACAAACACTGCCCTGCAAAGATAACGAGAGCATATTGACCCCTCCTAAAGATAAGGTCAGGATAACAATATGATGGATAGAGATGTTTTGATCAAATCAACATGTACAAGGTAATGGATGGTAACAACCCATGTCAGGGGGCAGTAACGAATCACATCAGAGGGGTAATATATAACTTGTTTGTATTGATATATAAAATGAAGTCTGAGGGAGTGTCTTTGGCTGGCCTAGGGGATAATGGAAAGTCCCACCATTAACTGAACTAGTCCATTGAAACGGGCATACATGTATTAGTGTACCTGTACACTAGGACCATGCTTCAGTGACAAACATGACAAGAGTTCCTTCGCTACAAACGGGTCTGTGGTTATTGGGCAGTGCGATCGAGGTCTGCTGTACCAACTGTCTGTGCAGAGCTGGGACAGCACACAGAGAATACACACGTGCAGCCAAACATCTAACAACATCTCACCACACTAAGCAGTTTCACTCTTCTGATATGTAAGGAAATGGCCTAAACTAAATTTAAGTAAATTCAGTAGCATCTTAAACCCATCTAATGGAAGATCCTCCTTTAGTAATAATGAGATGGTTAATGTTAAGAAAGATGGGGAGCAAACTTAAAGAGCACTTTAAACAGTTTACCAGTATACCCTACAACTGCAGACTAAAGCCCTGATATCACATGAGATTCAAATTGTACTGGGTTTTCACATCTTACTTATTTACAATGAAAAAGTAGACATTATTACTGCAAAAGCCAGTTTGCTCTCTGAAAGGAATCAAATCGGTTTTTTAAACAAATAGGCTTTTCTATTAACTTCTCACTGCACTAAAATTAAATGGTTGGGTTTTTGTTAACATGAAGAGTTGCACAGAGGTATCACCTTTGTAGAACTAAGCACTATAGCCTACAATCGAGTGCCATTTTAAATAAGGAAGTTGGTAATGTAGACTGCAAGTTAAAAATACAAAATTGACAAACACTAGCTGTAGTAATCAAAGTTTTTACAATATTCACACAGATGGAAAAAACAGTCACTACTGCTCATACTTTTTTAAACAAAATTTTAATCAGTTCCAAACCGTTACAGTTGGAATAGTGTACACTGTTGCTCTTAAATGAAAGCAGAAAACAGCTCTTCTCTGGTAGTGAAGTCTCCCCTTTTCACTTCCATCTTATCACACAAGATGTAACAGTATTTGTACCACAAATTTTCAAACTGTATTTTCAAATAAGACGACAACACAGGGTCAGTTTTACTTTATGCATGCAAGTCACATGGAATTTAGAGCAGGTGCCTTTCCTTTTTTGACAAAAATAAACTCCAACCATTTAATAAATAGGAGAATAAAGAACATGTGTTACCAACTATCTGAATAGAGTTGTATTACATTAGTTATCCAATTAAGTTTCAGTCACAACTGAATATCCACTCTACTCAACTTTTTAACCTCATTCTGCAGAGACAGAGACCACTCACCAGTGAGAGACAACTTGACAGTTTCCAGAAGAAACTGGTTCAATCAAACTATATGATATGTACAATTTCATCCAGCAGACTACATAAGATGTCCTCTCAAAGAACCACCTCTCTTCTCACCAACTCGTTCATCAGCTGTTCTATTCTGCAGACTCCAACAAAAGGTTCCACCGGCCATAGTTTGAGAACCAGTGAGGTATTGGATAACCCCTCAACTAAAAGATATCTTGTTTCTGTATCAACTGTTGTGACAGAGAGAGTTGTCATTCTTTCAGCTCCCACAGGCTCTGGCTGTTTGCAACCTAAGACACATTTACTGCCCTCCCAAGACCTCTCTTATGGTAGCAACAACTTACGGAGTGGCAGGTGCTGATAGCATAGCTTACATGCTGAGTAGGACAAAGGAAAGTTCATGCTAAGAACGTGGTGGGAAAATCCATACCACACAGGCCTCTTTAATACTACAAAAAGTTAAGCTATAAAAACCCTTCTCAAATTTTGTTTTACAGAACATGAGTTTGTTTATTTATTGACCTTTATCAAAAAAAGAATGCAGAAAGCAAATACATTTAAATGTTTTGTCAGAACTTTCAATTTGCCTATACTGTATGTTTTCTTTGCCTTTTTCCAGACAGTTAAGCAATCTTATAGGAGCATTTAATCATCATCATCCTCTTCATCAGAATCCAGTACTTTTCTTCTGTTGAACTAGAAACAAACACAATAAATTCAGTTTACAGCAACTCCTTCCAGCTTCAAAGATTCAAGACTCAAGTTAATCACTAAGGGCAAAGTTCTCAATGCTTATCCAAGTTAGTAGTCCACATGGGTGCTGTGTGGATGGAATCTAGAATCCTTCCCTTCCCCGGCATGGCAACATGGAGAAAGGGCTGTGGGCAACCAGTCTATGGTAACTTATAGAATTGTAGCCGCTACAGCCCATTGCTCCCTGTAAAAATATTTGTGACCAGTGGACCTATGTGGTTTGCAGGCCCTACAACCCCAGCCCACAAACCTTCCCCCTGAAACTCAGTTCCAAGGTACAAGGCTACAGTCCCCAATATAATATTTCTAAAGCCTGAATTTCCTATCCTATAGAATTATTATGGTTTTGCTGAGTTTTGGCCTTGCTACACATTTAGAAGAGGGAATTTTTACCTAAGTGTTTAAATAGCCTGTCACAACCTTCCAGAACCTCTTATTAGTGCAGAAGTAATGCAGATTCACAGTGAGCATCACCAAGGGTGTAGACAATAGGAAAAATAGCTAGCACTAAAATACTGTCCAACTTCTGTGGTCAAAAGCTACTTTCATAGTTGAGTACTCAGTTACTTTAGTAACTATTCAGGATGGATAAAATTCTATGATATAAATCAAAATTAGACTTAATTTAATACTCTAAAAAAACCTAGTAAAATTAAATTTGAAATTAACCTACATTAAGGGCTAAACTTACCTATTAATCATTACAAAAATAATTCAAGCAGTACATGTTTGCTGCCAAAGATTTAAAGAAAGTCAATCATCTGAACTGGTCACTGGCTAAGCACATGGAACCAAAGTTTGAAATCCGGAATCAGCTTTTAAAAGCAGTAGCCTCTTCTGCAGGTGCAGAGAGAATATTTTCTTTCAGTCTATTCCACTACTTCAATTCAATGACTAGCTAATGCAAAGTTGAAAAACCAACCAGGAGATGAAAGTGGAGGAATGATATTTTTATTCATAGATTGGAAAAGGAAAACTGAGGTATGAGAAGATCTACCAGTTCTAAAATCTGGAAGGCATGCTGGCCAGCTATAAACTACAGATATTTCCTTTGTTTAAAGAATCACTTTTAAATGCAAAACATGTTTTAATAAACTTATGTATTCTGTGCATTCAAGGTAGTTTTATTTAACTAAAAAAAATCTGAAAATGTTTTTTGTGCAACTGATTGAATTCCACTTTTCATTCAAATGCAACCTGACAAGTCATGAGTAAAAAATGATCTAGTAAATAAATGCATGGACTATTGTCTAACAAAAATGTAAAATTAAGAATCTAAATGTATATTTAAGCAGTTATATAGCTTAAACATACAAATAGTGTATCCTCCTGAAATAGCATGAAATATGTGCAGCAACTATTGTTGGCCCTAGCCTTTTATTTTTCTGCATTGTCTGGGAACAGGTTTGAACCAAGTTTACACTGCCTTTGGAAAAAAACTTACCTTTACTGTTGTTTTCTTTTCTGTTTGCTGGCTCACTTTTTCAAGTATTTCTATCAACCCTTGTTCTGATACCTAGAAAAGCAGAACAAAAACCACACACTTTATTTGGAGAAGTGGCTTAGGCCTGGTCTACACTACGACTTTAATTCGGATTTAGCTGCGTTAATCCGAATTAACCCTTCACCCGTCCACACTACAGAGCCAGTTAATTCGAATTAAAGGGCACTTAAAATCGATTTCTGTACTCCACCTCGACGAGCGGAGTAGCGCCAAAATCGATTTTGTTAATTCGAATTAGGGTTAGTGTGGCCGCACACCACCGAATTAATGTGGTTAAAATTAATGGGGTAGTGTGGCCGCACACCACCGAATTAATGTGGTTAAAAACCGAATTAATGTGCTTAGTGTGGCCGCGCACAATCGAATTTATACAACCTGTTTCCCAAATTCGAATTATCTAAATTCGGATTAATCCTGTAGTGTAGACATACCCTTAGGTTCAAATAATTGAATAGTTCTCTTGCTTCCCTTTCTCCATTTGTGTGCTTGCAAAGGTGTTTACTTGACTATTGAGACTGTAACATACTGTTTAGTGGCTCACATGCCAAAGAGACTGATTACCAATTAGGGCGGTCAATTAATCGCAGTTAACTCACATGATTAACTCAAAAAAATTAATCGCGATTAATCGCAGTTTTAGTCACGCTGCGAAACAATGGAATACAATTGAAATGTATTGAATATTTTTCTACATTTTCAAATATATTGATTTCAATTACAACAGAATACAAAGTGTACAGTGCTCACTTTATATTATTTTTATTACAAATATTTGCACAGTAAAAAACAAAAGAAATAGTTTTTTCAATTCACCTAATACAAATGTAGTGCAATCTCTTTATCATGAAAGTTGCAACTTACAAAACAACAACTGCACTCAAAAATAAAACAATGTAAAATTTTAGAGCCTGCATGTCCACTCCATCCTACTTCTTTTTCAGCCAATCGTTCAGACAAACAAGTTTGTTTACATTTGCAAGAGATAATGCTGCCCCCTTCTTGTTTACAACGTTACCTGAAAGTGACACTAGGTGTTTGCATGGCACATTTGTAGTTGGCATTGCAAGATATTTACGTGCCAGATGCGCTAAAGGTTCACATGTCCCTTCATGCTTCAACCAACATTCCAGGCAACATGGAAGCATGAAGGGGCATACGAATGTTTAGCTTATCTGGCACGTAAATTCCTTGCAATGCCAGCTACAAAAGTGCCATGTAAATGCCTGGTCTCACTTTCAGGTGACACTATAAATAAGAAGCAGGCAGCATTATCT